GGGCGCGTCTGCCGGTCACGCTGACGCACGTCATCGGGGCATTCGCGGCCGAGCATGATGTCACGCCGACTGCCGAGCGCCGCTAATGAGCTCGCTTCCCACATCGGCGGGACGTGGAACTCGCAGAACCAACGACATCGTCGGGCGGGGAACGTCCTCGGCGTCGCGCGGGACGCGGCACTCCGCTTCCAAGCAAGCGGCTGTTAGTGAGCCGGAGCTTCCCGTCACTCCCCGTCGCCCGTGTCGGCGGCTGGCTGTGAGCCACTCTTGCTAGGCTGTCGCAAGCTAACTTCCAGTTCGTTGGCTGCCGTCGAGCAACGCGCTGCCGCTCGACTTCTTTGCCACTTTGTGGAGTGGGTCCTTGTTGGACGTGTGTGCGTGCGTGCGTGCGTGTGTGTGTGTGTGTGTGTGTGTGTGTGTGTGTTTTCCTGAGTGCTGCTGAAAAGCTATGCTAAGTTAGCGCGCGCAAAGTGGATGATGTCAGCACGCTGACCAGGAAGTGGAGTCAGGTGGGGATGGGCGGGGCTCTTGTCCACCGATGGCGTGAGGCCGGCGAGGCCGGCGAACGTCAACAATAGCGGCGAGGGTTCGCTCGGTTAGCCATTCGCGCCAAGCGGTAAACAATTCATTGTCGCGGCCCAGCTGCCTCGTTAGCGACACCCACACAATGAGCGCCGATCGCGGCGAGGGGAGGCGGGGGGTCGGGGTCAGGGGTCACGGCTGCTTTCAGAACCGCAACGGAACAAAATGGCCCGCTGCCAACATCCAAGAGCTGTCAATCGTGCCGGGCAAGGGCCTGCCCTCGCCTTGCCTTAGAGCAAGTCCGGGATTCTTCCTTGGGAGGGAGGGGCCAGCTTCATCTTGGTTTTCAAGCACGAGATTTGACATTTGGCTCCGAGTCGAGTTGGTTCCGGGACCCCGTGGCGACCTTCCTCAAAAAGGCTCCGAAGCCTGCGTGCCGGAGCCGAGGGACCGCGGCGCGCTCCGATCTCAAATTTTGCTCGTGTCCCAAGACAAACTTGTGTCGAAAGGGGCAAAACCGACAATGGGAGCGAAAGAAGGGAGCGGCCTGACGTCTGGAGGCGACGCTGGAAAATTGTCGGCGATGTCGAGACATCGATACAGAGATTCAAAGGTGCGTCGAGGGCGGGAAGGCTGTGATCTCGAAGGGGCCGCCTTCGGACGCCGCGTTGCCATCTGTTGGGCTGCGCGTGGGCGCCCAACATCACGCGCTCCCCTCGGACCAAACGAAAAGGAGCGTGTGAGCGCGCGTTGTGCGGTCGGGCAAGGATCCGTCAGGATCCGATTGCCATTTCGAGACCAAATCCTTCCGGACGCCACCGAGGTCAACTTCTGAGATGGCCGGCCTTCTTCGGCGACCGGAGGCGCGTTCAGAGCCCGTTCCTGCCCATGTTTGGGTCCCGAGCGGGTCCGGGGCGCCCCGCCCGCTACGCACAAGGACAAGCGGGCTGTTTTTCTTTCCGATTTTGCACAAGGAACATGTGCCTCGAGGAGGGGCTGCCAGAACGGGGGCTCCATTTTGTCAGGGCCTTGAATTTGTTGGAGCCCATCGGATCCCACCAAAAGTTGCTCTCTCGCCTCCTCGGCCACCCGAACGGCGGCGGTCCCAAAAGGGTTGAAGCGAGACACCTGGACGCCTCCCCTTCAGCTCACAGAGCGCCGCGTTCTCTTGTGGAATGCCGCCTCCCACCAAAACGCGGGCTGGAGCTTCTCCCGAGGACGACGGCGCAGAAAAGACGAGACGCGGGGCGCTCCCGACCGGGCCGCGACGTCCCGGGCCGGAGACGGCGCCAAAAAGCTCCACTCCAAAGGCGATCCGAGCGGAAGAAGACGAGCAGGCCGCCACCTCCGCATCCGAGATTCCCCGAGCAGTTCGGCACCCGGCTTGCTTCGTTCGCTGGAAAGAGCGTGCGTGTCGGGTGGGGGGGGGCGGGGGGGTCGTGCGTGTCATTGTGTGGCGTGTCATTGGCTTTGTCTCTGCGCAAGTGTAAAATGCTGTTTGCATGTCTGACACGAGGTGGGCAAAAGTGTGTGTGTGTGCGCTCGCGCGGGCCTCCCGCTGATAGCATGTAGCATGTGGCGCCAAAGGTTAGCCGAGCAGCGAGCGGCTGCGCGTTAATCTTTAATCCCGCAAGGCGCAGGTGCAGATTAAACGGGCGAGCGGCAGGGAGGGCGCGGTGTCGTCAAGTCAAGGTCACGTGACCGCCGCGAAGCCTCCACGACCTTGCGAGCGTCTCGGCGCGACGGCGTGTCGGTCGGCGTGCCGTTCGGCGGCTGCGCGTGGATATCGTCGGCCACCCGGCGCGACTGCCGAGTCGGTTTGGGGGGACGAGGGGAACCCCCACCCCGGCGTTTTCACAACCCCCATATTGATCATTTGGCGGCAGCTGAGTGCTTCTTGGCCCGCAAGCCGACGGCGACTGCCAAAAGGAAAAAGACGTCGGGTGTCTTGTAAAAATCCTCGCGCTTCCAAAAACAGTGAGAAATGTTTGGGAGAAATGGCCGAGCGGCCGTTTCTCCAATATAGGCGAGTTCGCGTCCGGTTGTGGGACGCCCCCCCCCCC